GTGGGCGTGGGCGTGGGCGGGGTGGGGCTCGGGGGCTCCGAGGCCCCCTTGGAGCGCTTTTGGCGGGATCTTCTCGGCTGGCTTGGTCTGGGCGGACTTCCTGCTCCCGAGGCCCAGCCGTCTGAAATCCGGCCCCGCTCCAGGGAGGCGTCTCCCCGCCGAGTCGCAGCCGTTTCCTGGGCGCGGTGGGCCCGGGCGAGTGTGGGGACATGGAAGACGGCGTGCTCAAAGAGGGCTTCCTCGTGAAGAGGGTGAGCGCGGGACCGGGCGTCGGGGCCGAGCCGGGCGGACTGAGCGCGGGGAGGGGTCGCGGGGCGCCAGGGTCGGCGTCGGATCTAGGCCGGGAAGCTTGGAGGGAAAGGGGGCCCCTCGGGCCTGGCGGGGAGGAGAGCGGCGGGGCCGTGCTGGCGGCGTCGGGGTGGCGGCTCCGGCTGGCAGTGGACGTCTTAGGACAGCAGGATCTCAGTGCTGCAGGTCTACATTCGGTCCCTGGGGCCACACGAAACACAACGAGAAACATTAGTTTGTGGGTAAGGGTAAAGGGGGATAAGAGTAAAGGTTGGTTATCGAGTGTGCTTGGAAAGGAAGAATTAACTTCTAGTGACTGATGGCATAGATCGTATCTCAGAGTAACAAAGTGAGAAGAGAATTTTGAATGTTCCCAACACAAAGAAATGATAAATGGCCCACGGTGGACACGACTCCGATCCTAGCTGCACAGGAGGCTGAAGCAGGATAGCAAGTTCAGGGCCGGTGGGGAAATTTAGGGAGATCCTGGCTCAAAATAGAAGGGCTGGGGCTGTAGCTCAGTGTGAGCATGAGGTGACCCCTTGCAGCTCCATGGAGGAAATGAGGTGACTGGTACTGTAGGACAGTTGCTCAGATCTGATCATGCCGTATTGTGTACATGTGTGGTTTGGGTTGACACACTGTACCCCATACATGTATGTCAATTTAAAAAAATATATGTATTTTGAGTAATATGATTTATTTTTTCAACCTTTTTAGGGTTGTTGGGGGTTAAACCTTTGGCTTTGGATATGCTAAGCATATGCCCTACCTACACTCTTAGCCTAAATAATTTATTAAAATAACATGGGTATGTTCTGGGAGGCTGGAGGGACTCTGTTTCGTAGCACTTAGAGTTTGCTAGCGCTTCTGCAGCCCAGTACTAGTTCAGTTACCTGCGAGTGTGTGTAGAGGAGGCGGCCGAGCACAGAAAGTTTGAGTAACCTGCTTTAGATTATAGCTGTGACTGGTAGAGCTGGGTGGAAGTCTCAGGTTGACTCCAACCCTTTCCTGCCTGTGGAGCATCATGCAGCGTGGGCATTGTTAGTGCTGTGCTGTGGAGGAGAAAACCGAGGGTCTGGAGGATGAAGCAGCCTGCCTAGTGCTAGTATCGAGGACCCCCATGCTGTAGTTGGACCTTCCCCATCTGTCTGTGTGGCTGGGAATAAACATGAGCCCAAACCAAGACAAGATCTGGATCCAAGCAGAGAGTAAAAGAGTAAGAGAACGTGTGATAGAAAGGTCCTTTAAAATTACTTTCAGGGCAGCTTGGTGTGGTGGCACACACCTGTAATCCCAGAACTCGGGAGGCTGAGGCAGGAGGATGGCTTTGAGTTTGAAGACAGCTTGGGCTACATAGTGAGTTCAAGGACAGCCTGAACTGTGTAGCGTGACCCTGTCTCAAAAATGGCACACACGCACACATACACAATATATATATATA